AAGTGTAAGAAAATAATATCTAGTAAAGAATAGAAAATAATTCCATTCTAATCCAAAGTAGTATCTATGAAGAGCAATGGGAGAAAGAAACAAATGCGCCACAAAGAGCAAAGATTTTGTCGAAGGCACGTAACGGTTTTGAATTGGAACAAAAGCAATGATAGAAAAAGAAACTAGTCGAAGTTGCTGCAAGCCGAAAAACCGAACAATATATCACTTTATTATGTTGGTATCTCCTCCGAGATTATGAAAATGGAGAAAATATTCAGCAGGAAGTGGCTCCTTGTCACCTATCACGTGCAAGAAAAAGGTTTCTTGAGGATGAAGATGTTTAACTTGTGGAAGTCTGGCAAACACATCCTGATCTCGATATAATTGAAACAGTGTGGTAGGAACGGAGGAAATAAGTGCTCCAACGAAAACCACGCAATTTCCATGAGTTTTGGTATGACTTCCAAGAAGAATGGGAGAATTGCTCAGTGAAAAGATCAGGATATTGTTCTACTTACCTTTGCTTATGCTTACCTTCTATGTCTTGTACTTCCTGCAATAATCAAGATCACTTTTTTGCAACAAAAAAGAAAGCATTTTTATCTTAAGAAAAAACAGAAAGGTGAAATTTTCTCGTTGTGAACCCCTTATTTTTGCATGGCTATTTTTTCAGGATTATTACGTCTAAGGTACTCTATCAGCCACCATACAGCAATAATAAAAGTGCAGTAACATGTTTTCTATCCTTCAAACATTATGGAATATATTGAGGAAAGTATATATTTAATCTCTCTCGATTTATCGTAAAATTAACAAAAAATATATATGTATTTTATCAAGTTAGGCCAAAGCTTTTCCACACGAGTGCAGAGAGTGAGAAAGTGAGATACAGACAGACATATAGACAGAGAGAGAGAGAGAGAGAGAGAGAGCGAGAGGTTGAGAATGAATCGGAAAGTGAGATAGATAAATATATATTCTCTGAATGGGAAAGATATGAAAAGGATGAAAAATGGAGTCAACTAACAAAAAAATAAAAACAGACATATTCATAGTTTCATTATTTGTTTTTAAATTCAAATAGTCCACCCTTAAGAAAAAATATTCCGTGAATAGAGAGAAAAACACAAATGACTTGGAAATCTATTTCCTCAAATTAATGGAAGTTAGTGTTATGTTAAAGGGAAAGTGAAAGTAAGTTTATATGACTTACACACGGCAACTGATGATGAACGCAATATCTCAGTTGCCCTTTCTGGCCCAGCCGGACGAGATAAATAGTTATCTACAAGTAAACGATTGAACTAAATACTTTAAAGTAGGAAGAGTTATTAAGTGAGGGGTGACATAATAACTTCGAAAAATATTTCCCATTGTAAGCGTTTATCTAGAGCTGAATTATCAACAGCATGCAATGAAATGAAACATCCAACTAGATTGGCACCTAAGAATACTCAGATACATTTTACCGACTGCATTATATGTAAAGAGGTTTTTAAGATGCAACTATCCGAAATATTATTCTAAAAATACAATTATTATTCATTCGGAATTCTTTTCAACGTTGATCGAAAAGTAAATTAAAAATGCATCATCACATGCTTCAGATTGTCTATAATAAATCTTCGGAAGTATGAATAACGGTAAACTTCCATCTTTTCTAAGAATTAATATGAACGTTGTCTTATGTTACTTGAATGAAATTCCTTGATACTCTGTCCTTTTTCACATAGATATTGACATTTCTATATAGAGATCGAATGGTGGGGTTGTGTCTCTAACTATTAACTCTAGAAATGAATAAAAATTCTGTAGAACATTAGCTAAATTTAAACTTCAATATATACATAGGAAATCTATTGTCAGATGGTCGGCGACTAAATCGGCTGATCAACTCCAATTAACTGCGAATGAGAAAGGTGGTTAGCAAACCTGTAGGATGTAAAATGTTTTCGATCAAATTTCCCTAACCTTCTTTCTACTTTATGCGCTCCCAAAATTTCAGCTGTCTGTTAGAGTTGTTAAGTATAAGTATCCTATTTCTTTGAATTTTCTCCAAAATAATTCGTTGTGCACACATATTCAATCTATGGTATTCTCAGCATTCTTCAGTAGAACTATATATATATTTCTTCAAGTCGTTTCATCATATGAGATTGTCTAGCATTCACAATGTGTCTTCGGATTTCGGTGTCAGACTTTCCGTCCTCTAATAAAACACTTCCAAGATATTTAAATATTGTAGATGCTTAATTTCGGTATCCCCAATTAGTAATTTGCATGCCGTGCTATTTCTTTTACTGATAACCATGCATTCTGTCCTCTTGCAATTGATGTTCAATCCTTTCTTCACCCGCTTTTCTTTACTTTGCAGTTCTTTATAGTGTCTGTTATTGTTAGACTAGCTGAACAGCCCCACAAGATGGACTGGTCTAAGACTACTTAAAAAACAGAATTCTCTCTTACTAAGGGAGATCAGTTAACGATTATAGTAAAATCTGCTTGTCGACTCACTGCTTTCGAACGCAAAAGGAATTCAGACGGGACTCTGCCCTTAGGCATAGCCACATCTGGGGGGATAGACAAAAACCAACCCCGTGTATACAGGGTCTACGGTGAATTTTTGACTGACTTTACGGGCTCGGAACGACCAACGTAAAAAAACGAACCTTGTGCCCCTTCCCACCTTTTGGGGTTGTAAAAACCGAGGGTTTAACTGTTTATTACATTAGTCTCGGTGGATTAACGGATAGCAGCTCGGATTAAGGAATCAGAGGGCCGAGTTCGAATTCCAGTCGAATCCATTATATTCACTTACCCTTGGGAAAGGTATGAATCTTCTTCTTATCCCCCCAGCTATGGGTAAATAACAGGTTAGACCGAGTTCTATAAACTTGGATGACAACTGGACTACCGCAGAAAGAAATCGCAACCTACTGCGAGAAAAATCTGTCTCGTCAGTCATGTATCGAGATACATGATCGCCTAAGCGTGTATACGCTTGACATATGTGTACTGTGTTCTCCACCATGTACCATATTATTCTCCGGAATAAAATCCTTCTTATTTTCTATATGATGTCGAACTTTCTTATTTACGACACAGCCGTTATCAGCATTGTTATCTACATATGTTTGTTAAATAGTTACAATGGTCGCAGCTAATAGTGGTAAGACTTCTTATTTTCTCAGAATGGATACATTGTCTAATTTGAATAAGTCCCGTAAGAAGACAGATTCTTGTCTTACACCCCTTTCTATTTTCGTATATTTAGTAAATTCATTTGCTATTCGTCTCTGCTACTTTACATACTGACTTATTCTAAGATCCTTCCCAAATCCAAAGTTTTGTACTTTCTGCAATAGTCAAGATCACTCTTTTGCAACAAAAAAGAAAGCATTTTTATCTTAAGAAACAAAAAATAGAAAGCTGAAATTTTCCCGTTGTGAACGCCTTATTTTTGCATAACTATTTTTTCAGGATTATTACGCCTAAGGTACTCTATCAGCCACCATACAGTTCCAAAACTTCTTTTTTCTTTATCAAAGGCTATTTCATAATCTATAAAACATAGGTATTCATCATTGCCTTTGTAATTCTCTTTTTTGTTTTCATTCTGAGCATAAATATCACATTCCTTGTTCTAGTGCCATTCGAGAAACCTCGATGTTCTTGTCCGATGCCTGTTTTAATTCTGCCTTCTGCTATATTCTTCAGAATTCGGATGATAAGAATCACTTGAATATGTCCCACTTCGAATTTCCATTCTCAGGTTTGTCATTGTATCTACTTTTAAAACTATCTATATATTTCCCCTTCATAATCGGATCATCCAAGAGTCCGCCGTATTGCAATTTTGCAGCTGCCTTGGCATTCTTCAATTATCATAGTTTTACTCTAATTTACATATCACTGGATAATGGTTGCCCCCGCACTTGGGTATGTTTTCTAGTATTGATAGCATTATAGTGACTTTGTTTTTTGGGCTTCATCCCTTGAGTTTCTTCATGCTCATATTTGTATATATGTTGAGAAAGCAGATTACATCCGTTAGACATGTAGTCACGACATGCACACACACACACACACAATATATATATATATATGAAGAAATATAGTTTTAAGGTGTGCTATATTTATGGGATAAAGTGCACAATATCAGAGATAGAGCGTATGTAAATATAAATATAAAAGTGAACATTGAAGTCAACACTTAGAGGCAACAGGCTGTTTCATGCTAGACGCAATCATCAGGCCGGATCAGACCTGATGATTGCGTCTAGCATGAAACAACCTGTCACCTCTGAGTGTTGACTTCAATGTTCACTTTTATATTTATATTTACATACGCTCTATCTCTGATATTGTGCGTGTATGTGCATATATATATATATATATATATATATATATATATATATATATATGTTGAGGAAAATAATTTGGAAGCATAATAATAACCTTATTAGCAACTATAAACATACGCCTGAAACATTACATTATGTCGCCATCTTACTTTAAATCCATTCTTAAAGTATCTAACTTATATTTATCGAATATATGCTTAAAAAGATCAATCCCAGATTAGAGTGCAATGCCTTCCCACAGCAACTGCTAACCGCATAAATATGAAAACATTAGAACGCCTCCTACGAGGCAGATACACATATACACAATTAAGAATACACATTACTATGCGATGCCCGCTTTGATATACACGAATCTTTGCAAACTTACATACCTATAGAATTATCTACATTTTAATGCACATGATATGAGACTGACCAATGAGAAGTGACCCGAACAAAATTGGAAATATCAAAGTTTCAGTAAGTCTTCTCTCAAACTCTGACGAAATTTTAATAAAAAAGAAACATGTTAGATTGATATACGTTTCCTATTTGTTCTTATCTTATCACATTTCGATCCATACTTGATGTGCATTTGATCTTTTACTAATATATATATATATATTATATATCCATATTTGAAAACCCGTTCTCGTACGACGTATGGGTATGAAAAGAAACGCGTGTTCAAAAGTCTTTTTCTTTCCCCTTTTTCATTTCACTGAACAGTTGCTGTCCAGCATGTAAGTAATAATTATGCAACCGTCAAGAACTTACAAGCACTCTCTCTCTCTCTCTAATACACACACACACACACTACACACACATAGACACAGACTGATTCTCTATCAGTTTCTCACACACACACACACACACACACACACACACACGCACACACACACACACACACAAATCCACACGCTCAATTAATCACTGCCTTCTAAAACGATTATTTTGAGGGATATACATTGTTGTTTTTTTTTTGTTTTTTTTTTTTTTCATTTCTACCTCATTTACTTGTAAAATTCTTCCGCTACCACTGTTTTAGTGGAACGGGAAATAATGGTGGCAACATGGCTAATACGTACTTATTTACACCGATTGTGAATGGAAGAAGGAAACATCCACCCGGACATGCATCTTAGCCTATGTACGAACATTGATTGTGTCTTGAAAAAAGTGCCTTCGCGGTATATTGCGATTGAAGCATCTTAAATATGCGCATTTTCGTTCTCTTTTCAAAATTGAAATCTACGGAATTAATGCAAAGGAAAGCGAAAATATGCCAAGAGAAATAAAAATAGGATAATCTAATTCTCAAATCTAGTTTGACATTCTTACCAAGACTTTTGTTTTTTTAATGAGATGAAATCGAAATCGGGAAACTTTCGAAAGGATAGATGCGTATCTCCAGATATCTGACACTCGGAAACGTGCGCGTAGGGATGCACCTTAATATGACGTACATACATATACATTGATTGTTCTGTTCTGATGTAAATTTAGTTTCTTCTAAAACAGTAAAACTCTATATCGATATATATATATATATATATATATATATATATATATATATATATATATATATATATATATATATATATATATATATAAAGAGATAGATATGATTTGTACATACGTGAATTTAAAATGCATTAACTTGAATGCATTTATTAATATGATCACTATGCTTCCTTTACATGTATATGCTATCCTTTACTTTATATATATATATATATATATATATATATATATCGATATATTTATATACATATATATGTATGTATGTAAAGGCGTGTATGTGTACGGAGAAATTACATAACAGATTGGAAAAAATATTTTCGACGCCGTTCGTCTTTTAGGACTTCATCGGACTAGAAACGCGTCACAAGTAATTTTTCTCCATTTTGTCATAGAATTTCCCATATATATATATATATATATATATATATATATATATATATATATATATATATATATATATATAAAATGAAATGAACTAAGCCCGACAATTATTTTAATATATTTTCTTTTTTTAAATGCTCTCTTTATAATAAAGTCTTAACTACATTTACCGGCCTGAATGTTCGAGAAATGTCATACAAAATGTTTGTCGATCGACACGAATCGAACCGGTATCCTACATGGAACCGTCATATTGCGTGTTTTTGAATACAAAATGTGAGACATGACATAGTAAATATAAATATCTATCATTCTATATTAATACTGCATTTGTAATCACATACGTTCATCGGTGGATAAGATTATCTGCATTCATATACAAGTAAAAAGTGCTCATATACATATATATATATATATATATATATGTGTGTGTGTGTGTGTGTGTGTGTGTGTGTTGCTGGGGATGCATCAACATTAAAATGTATATCATTCTCAGTGACGATGAAGCACATTTTCAAATGCATTTCCTTATGTTCATCTGATTGTGTAATCGAATTATTCCACCGAAAATGTTGAAATGATTTAACATATAAGTAATGTAAAAAAAAATAAACATTCAAGCAGATGGCTCCTCAAATATGTTGAATCCAGTTCATCTTTCAAGAAGCACACATTGTTAGAGACTACAAGTATTTTCACAGTACGCTCTTCGTTTGATAAGCCAAAAAAAATAGTTTAATTACGTCAAGTTAAAACTCATTAATATTCGCTGGTGTTGAACTATTCATTGCTTTGAAAATGTCACAGATGTTATTGTTTTCATTCGTCGTTCCTGCCCCGTTCAAAGCAAACAGAAAAATCTAATGTTAATACGAAATGCTAACAATAAAGTGTGTGTATCTACAAGGTACTTTTCTTGTTTAGATTCATAGATTGGTCTTCAAATTATGTATAATGCACCTAGAGTAGAGTGATAGTAAGTAGGCTAAGTCATTCACTGGAGAATTGAGTTCGATCCCCACTGATTACCAATGTCGTATGATCTTGTGTCAGAATAAGTCACATTTATCAAATAGCTAATTCACCATGAGTAGTAAGAGGGGTGGTCAATTTTTTTTTTCTTAAGATTATTCGCTCGCATAGTAAGCTTGTCTATCACGGATTATTAAAACGTTGTCTCTCTATCAGTCTCAACTACAATTACTAAGTGGCTAATATATTTATAGCTTAGTTATTTATAGGCAAATATCAATGGTCGTAGGACCGTAGATGAAGTAAACAATGTGGATAAAGACAAAAAGAAAACTTATCTTATCGTGTTTCGTCCTCTAAGTTTTTTTTTTATCAAGGCAAATATAAGGATTTTATTTTGTGACAAGTATTTATATACATGTTATGGGATCTTACCCATAATAATAATAATAATGATAATAATGGACTATTCCATACTTAATAAATACTGCGGCTCAGGAGTAAGCAAGAAGTGCGTCAGTCGTTCACTTTCTGAGCGACTGTTCGGTTTAACTCTCTTCCTACGGGCGGGAGGAACCCGAAGGAGGCTACGCCGAAGTGGGGAGTCTCCTTCGGGGAGGTAAAACCGACCCAGAACCCGTTTATACGGGTTCAAATGGGCTATTTTTTGGCCGAGCCTAATGGCTCGGGAATTGCCCACGTTAAAAAGGCCTTGTGTCACATGACACCCTCGTGGAGGCGTGACTGAATATCGTCAGTCGTTCACTTTCAGATTCAATAGGCATATTTTTGGCTGAGCCCACGGGCTCGGAAATCCCACGGGCTCGGAAATCCCACGGGCTCGGAAATCCCACGTTAAAAACGGCCTTGTGCCACATGACGCCCCAGTAGGTGGGGTGACTGAATATCGTGAGTCGTTCAAATCTTGACCGGCTGTTCGGTTGAACTCTCTGCCTTCGGGCGGGGAGGAACCCAAAGGCGGCTACGCCGAAGGGCGGATTCTCTTTCGGGGAGGTAAACTGACCCTGAACCCGTTCATACGGCTTCAATGGGCATATTTTTGGCTGAGCCCACGGGCTCTGAGAGCCCACGTTAAACCGGCCTTGTGCCACAGGATGCCCACGTGGTGGTGGTGACTAAATATAGTCAGTAGTTCAAGCGGAGTCAGTGGTTCATGTCGAGTCAGAGGGAGTCCGAAACAGAATCGCGTTCAGACGATTACTGCAAGACATTGGAATAGTGATACTGGTTGAGACTACATTGTTCTCTCTACTAAACCTGATTGTTCATACTAACACTTCTATTTCTCTGTATATATTCCTGTTTGTAATATATCTGTGTTATTCCATACCTGTGCTCGCGTTCTTCTTTATTTATTCTACCTTAGACTATTACCGTGGTACAAGGAACCGGACCATAACAATTTAAAAGCAAATAAAGAAAAAAAGAAAGACCAATAACGTATATAAATAGTTGTCACAAAATAAAATCCTTACATTTGCCTTGATAAACAACCTCAGAGGACGAAACGCATTGGCAAATATAAATTTTCATTTTGTCTTTATTCATATCGTCCTTTAACATATATGATCAATCCGAACTTTCTAGACAAAATAAACAATGTTTAAAAGAGGGAGCGTCTATTGAAATAGGTGTATCCACTAAAAATAAATTTTATAATAAAGTAATAAAAAATGACGGGTTCAAAATAAAATTCCTTCATTCTTTAGAATTATTTTTGTTTAGGTTTCGGATACAAAACTAAGCAGATATAGGCTTTCGAGAAATCTAAACGATTGAATGGGCATTAACGTAAATATAAGGTTTCTTGATTGTGAAGCTCTTCATAGCCAAGCGGGTATAGCACGACAGATCCGACGGTGTTTGTTTTATTGAGTTGTCTCTTGTGCGTAGGCCAGTAGACAGAAAAAGTTACAGAAAAGTGCATCAACTCAAATACGTCTATCTACTTATATATATATAGAGTCTGCGCAGAAAGTAAAGAAAAAAAAAACATATAAATATTGTAATACGAACGTTATTCCTTTGCGCTCTACAATCACAATAGAAGCTCAAGATGGCGACCTTTACCTTCCAGACATTTATTAGTACGGCAAACTATTGCTTGGGCAACGTTGGCCAAAGTATCCAGTGGAATTACAGCAGATGCACTTAGAATTTCTAGTCTGTGTGCCGCCAATGCATAACATCCTCCATAGGTAAAAATCTAAAAATACGAAAAGCAAGTTTACCCTTCCCTGAAAAGTGTATACATATTTTGAGCGGAGTGTCTCTCTTTCCCTTTATATATATATATATATATATATATATATATATATATATATATATATATATATATATATATATATATATAATGTCTGATTAAGCATTTTAGGCATGGTGTTTTGTTTATTTTCAATTGTATCCTTTCTAACTCTATTTCTTGATGATTAAAGAGAATAATTATACGTGATTAAGAAAGGCCATTATTGAAAATAAACAAACACAGCATGTCTAAATTGTTTAATCTGACATGCTTAAATGAAAATATGCTGCCAAAATATACGGAATATATATATATATATATATATATATATATATATATATATATATATAAAGGTATCTACAGCTATATTTATCTCAGAAGGCATCTTGATAGAGGCATCTGTGTTTATACGTTTCAAAGTCTAACGCTTATACGAGGCGGGAAATCAATAAGCCTATAATCTGAAAAACAGGCATAAAGCTGAATTTTGATTTGATAGTACCAATGTATGACGTTTTACATATGCTTTAAATGTAATAAATGAAAATGCCTTGGATTAAGTGCATTGTCAAGCAAAGATATAGCCCTGAAAACTTATGA